GCATTTGGCACAGGAACACTTTTACAAATTGTTTTTTAAAGAAAAAAAAATATTATTGTCTTATTGGGATTAATTTGACCTGAGCTGGAAATTTAAGAGATTAAAACACCAGAGTTTCCTTTTTGGGGTCTTTGCGTAGATTTTAATTTATGAAATCAGAAAGCAAACAGAGAAAATAAACCACATGAAACATATTTCTTAATAAAATATTGGTATCTACAAAACAGCCTGACCCAATTCATGAAACCGGGTTTCTGAAACTGGGTTTCTTTACGATATACTCTGTCTTAAGTTTCGGGCTCTGAGCTCAAAACTTTTGTACTTCAAATCTGTTCAAAATGCTCTCCAGGTACAGGGTGTCCCACAAAACAGACAGTTAAAGAATAATTTAGAATAGCGTCCTAAAATTGCTTATACAATCCAAGCGTCTACCGCGTTCAAATTCTGAGATTAATCCGAATAAAAACATTCATCCCAGCTCCCTTCATCCAAACTCTCATCCACGAACCTGTGTTTGTAAACATTGTCTCGAAAAGTTTGGAACCTACCAGGAAAACAAACTTTATTTTAGTTTTTAACTGAACTTTTTTCTTTCAAAGATTAGTCAGAACTTGTGTGTTATAAATCTTGGGATTATACAGATTATACAGATTATACAGATTATACAGATTATACAGATCTAAGGATTAATTTAATTCATTCTCGATATCCGATGGTGGGCATACCCTTTATTGATAAGGGATCAAGCATTGATCCTCAAATTTAAAAGTACCCACATTAGATATCGAGTTCAAACATTTAAAAACGAAACTGGGACTCTATACTAAAAGTTCCGATCTGAAGAATCCAATATATTTGTTTGCATAACAAGTGCACTGCAGCATCTGGAAAGAATGGGAATACATTTTATGCAATCATCCATTTTAATAGAGTGTCATGTCCGATTCACAACAGTACCATTTAAAAATGTATCTAAGCTAAAATTTGGAAGATGATGTTGTTTTTCCACATTGAAAAGTGTTGAATGCTGTAAAGTACGTTCTCTGTCTCTGTTGTATAAAATCCGCAAATAACTTTTCTAGAGAAGCAACAATTAGAAAATACTAATCTTGAGGAATTTTTTATTGCCTTTGCTCAATAAATGGGTTAAAAGTTTGTAAAGGATGTAAATTATGAATTCCCAATTTAAAATGGAATGTCACTTGAAATTTCGTCCAAGAATTTTTCCGATCTATGATTAACAGGTAGCAATGTCCATCGTTTTCAGACATTTCGGTTTTTTTGCCGTTAAAAGTGTTTCACTAAAATGTGAGTTATTGATAAAGTGGCAAAACTGTTTTCACGATAAGTTTGCTGTGATTACATTATTATTTTTTCATTGATCAAATTACATTAACCAAAATGATCTAGCACTTTTGAAATAGCAGTCACATTTCAGATTTGTGTACAGTCTCTTAAAAGTCTAAAATAGGGCCTCAAAACCCATCAATACTCTCAGAGTTTAGATCATGGTTAACTATAGTTTTAAATATTCGGAATTATATAAAAAAAATTAACAATGTTTGTTTGTGGCACAGTACTACAGCTCAATGATGAAGGATAAGCAGGAGATGAAGGCTAAGGGTAGGAGTGTGACAAGAGATTCAAAACACACGAGTAAAAAATCCAGACCAAGAGAAAAATCTCATTCCAGACATCACTCCATGGTGGGTCATTTCTAGATTCAGGATTCGTCATGATAAAATATATGGACCTAAAGGATTTTGAAAATACATTGCAATATACATACAATGAGACCCAACAAAACTGTGGAAAAGGAAGACGACTAAAAAGTGTAAAGAACATTGAACAAACAAGTTGAGATCCAATTCACTTAAAGGGAGTGACCGGCTATGTAAGGTAATTTAAAAAGTGAAATATGTCTCAAATGAATCCTAAAGAAGTTTTCCACAACACTGCATACTCAGTTCAACTACCTTACATAGCCGGTCACTCCCTTTAATAAGATGATTTTAACGCTACGGGTAAACCATTTTGCTTTATGACTAAACACATGGCAAACATTTTATCTTTCTATTTCATAATTTTATGGGTCCCACTGTATATCTCACAGAATGAAAATTGATGAAAAACTGAGATTTTACTAATCGTGTTACAAGCATGTTTGTGTCTGGTATTAAATATCATTTTGAAAATTCGAAACAATAAAAAAGAGCAATTGAAAATTCGTCTGTATTCCGTAAACATAGAGAATAGAATATATATTAGAGGGGAATTTAGAGAATCTCTCGGTATGAATTTTTTCAGTCCCTTTCAGCCTAAAAAGGAGTTCAAAGCGTACAAATCATGTGAATGTTCACAAATTATATGCAGTAGAGTACATTAATACAGTATGTTCCCTAGACTATTCATTTCAATTTCGAATTTTTAAAAGCTGTTTAATAAACTTTATAATGAATTAGGTGAATAAAAAACATCATTTGATTTACAGTTATAACGGAAAATCATCGTTTGTAAAGTGAAAGGCATAGAGTCTATGTGAAATGATCCTTGGTCAATTATGAAACCAGCCTATTTCATAATTTGGTTTTCTTTTAACATTAATTTTAGATTTTCTATAAAATGATATTCCAGGGCCCAAAAGGTTATATAGCATAAATATGTGAAGTACACCTGCAGTATGGAAACAGTACAACAAAATGGCCGTTTTACACTTTTTTCTAGTAAATTCCCATCAAATATATATTCTATTCTCTTTGTCCGTGAACCTTTTTAAGTTTATAATCTCTTTTAATTATAAAATTTAGTTTAAACTCCCTTTAGATTATAAAAGGTTTTTCTCATGAATTCAATATTGCATGCATACTAAATATAATATTGTATAAAACGAGAGGAATTCTAACCACCATTACAGATTTCCCCTGGGGCTTGCCATATTGACGAATGCATGGGAAAATGGCAAAGTTTTGGCGCTTGTTCGCGTGCAAATAATAGTGCTAAACTGACATGTTAATATAGTACAGGGTGTCCCAATAAACATGGGAATTCAGTGACGAATTTGATATCGTCTTTTTAAATAATTCTTTGATTTAGTAGTGTGATTCCTACAGAGAAAGCTGTAATTTGTTAGAGTTTCGTCTGCTATGTTTACATTTTGTTTGTTTATGTTTTGACTGCATACGGTTGTACTTTGTAAAACAAGAAAATTGCAGTATACAAACAGGGTAAACTTGTCCGTCTTCACTGTTTATCTTGCGGGACATTATAGACACATCTTTACAGTCTTTTACCCTTTTTATAAAATAAACTATAGCAGACATAATAATATTATAGCTTTTGAAATTAGGTATTACAATGCTAATTCATAACAAAGACGATATCGAATTCGTTACTGAATTCCCAAGTTTTTTGGGACACCCTGTATCATTAATTACTATGCTATTTATAAGGAGGTTTACTGCACCTATCTAGGTATAACTTGGAATATGTTTAAATGAAGTGTAAAAGCATAAATTTAACTGACGCTTCTTGCAAAAATGGCAAAGCCCAATTCACAACGGTACCCTTTGTCTGAAGAAGTATTAATTAGACATTTTATTTTTTATAATTAAAAAAAAATTTCATTTTTAGTTGTGATTTCTTTACAAAAGTGACTTGTTCATTTCTACCGTTGGAATTCACATAGAAGTTATCAGAATTAAACACTTTTGAACCTAATAAAAGACAATATACTCTTTAAATATGATCAGGTAAAGGTTTCAAGATTACCTTTGCTGATCGGGCATTGCCATATTTGTATGGAGGTCACTTGAAATTACGCATACAGCAGATTGAACCATCTTTGCATGGAGAGTTACTTACACTTTCACTCCCTTTTATCATTTCTAGAAATCTACAGATTGAAAACATTATTGTTTTCATAATAAATACCTTGTAAACCAATGATGACAACAGAAGGGGACAAAACAATGAGCTGGATATGAAATACTACGAAATCACATTCGTTTTAATCGATGGTAGATAGTAGTTAGTGGACAGGGGGAATTTTAAACATATGGAGACTTTATAAATGGAGGGGGTAAATGGGGGGGGGGGAATGTGAATCTTCAAACATGAGGGAGAGAAAGTTGAATTTTTAAATACAATAATATGTCTAAGTCATTGTGTACACGCAATAAGACGGGGGGGGGGGGGGGGAGGGGAGGGCAAAATGCAAATTTTTTATCATACATCTATTGTAAAATATAAAACCCTTGCCATACTAAATATTTTAATATGATTAATGTTTGGTTCGTGTTTAAAAACTTACTCCTTTTGATGAATTTTCATATAATAATATATCTATTTTAAATGAATAGATCTTTTCGGTTTTTGCCACTTGTGAACCCATTAAAAAAACATTATGAATAAAAATCCTAAATTCATACATTAATAACCCATTAAACATTGGAGCAAATGTCGCTGTTGTGTTAAAGATACTAATTTGGATTTGTAATTTTCAAATTTGAAAATGTGAACAGAGGAGGTGGAATCTGTAGTGTTGGATTCCCTGAATCCTGTTTAATCCTCTCTTAAGGATATCCTAGCTGGGTTCCGACCAATCAGAGTTATCTCATCAGTTGCGCGCAAAATTTCCCGGTTTCTGATTGGCTGTTTGTTTTCTGCAAACGACACTTTGATTGGTTCATTTTTATAGACACTTTCCTGGATATAGAATAAAGACTAAATTAATCTGCAGATCAACGAAAAGGTTAGATCAAGCATTGATCTCGTTATCCACAATCCAAAAGTTTCCAGCTCTGAAGTCAAAACCACCTTTTGGAAATCCAAGGATTTAAGGAACATTGTTGTATAGTATTCAAGACGAGAAATATAATCCGTAAAATAATATCTCTTGATTTATGAGAAAAAAAATGTTATTTAATTTCCCTCAAACTCAATAAATTATTGATTTTGATTCTTAGTTTCAAATACCAGTGATTGTAAATAAAATAAAATAATTTAATTGCTTATAATATTGTATTTCATTGCAAGATAACTAAACACAAGGGCATGCTATATGTTCTGGCGATTAAGATGTGTATACATTTAAGAAGTGGTTATAATGCTTAAATATAACTAATAACTAACAGCTAAATGGCCTTTATATAGATTTAATGTATTAAAGTATTGTTTAACAATAGATAACAAAGAAATGATGGAATCATGAATTCTTTTCTAAATCATAAATGTCAAACACAACTTCCTCTGGTTCTTCGTCATGAAGATCATACTGAAATTGTGTAAATTGCTTAAACCCATCGCAAATGCTTGGGGTCTTCTCAAAGATAGATTTTCTTTTCTTTGGTTCTCCAGTAGACGTTTTGGCGATTGATGTTATGGTTGTAAGTCCAGGACCTGTTTCTGAAGGAACATCCGTCATTTCAGTATCTCCAGAACGTCCACCTGATATAAGGTTTTTCAACCTGGATCTTGCGCGATCCAAACACCCTTGGCATGGATTCTTCCACCAAACTTTATACTTTATTGGCTCTGGACCCCCTGGCAATGGAAGATCTAAATTTCCCTGCAAAAGAGAAAAAGAATAAGCTTTAAAACATTTGTTTATTTAAAAACAGATACCTTCAAAACCCATACACAGAAGTAAGAGTAGATGAGGAGTAGAACACCCAAAAGAGCAAGAGTGAGGACAGATACCACAAAGTAGAAATTAAAATCTGGCGTAATTTCATGATAATCCATTTGATGGTTTTTGTTATAGAGTTTTGCAATGTTTCTTGCCCATTCAGCATTATCCATTGTTATACGCTTTGGAATTAATCCAATGTTGGAGGTTTCATTTAGTTCTTCAGTGAAATTCTTGATGAGTCCCATGGTTGACTTTTCCAGTAGGTCTGTTTCAGAATTTTGAATGTTCTTGAGGAGGTATTTCACCGTCTTATTCACTTCCAGTCCCATGGTAGATCTTAGAGCTCTCCGGAGTTAATTCTGTCCATGTTAGTCGGGAAGTACACCTGCCACATGGAGGGTTTGAACACAAATATAAAGCAGAGGTAGATGATAGTAAGACCACCAACAGTGAAGATGATTGCAAAGAGCAGACCAAGGAACAGCTTTATCTCATCAAAATCAATACACCGAAGGAAGTAGTCACTGAAGGATATCTTTGTATTTTCGTACCTAAGTTTTCTCTCCTCGGCAGTTTCAACTTTAGACTCGTCACCTGTGCACTTGCAGGCCTTCTTTGAACCGTTAGATTCCTCCTTTCCTGAGGTTAGCTTAGGGATGATTCTATGCTTCAGCTCGCACTCCTTTGCATCTTCTGAAGTTCCCATTTTATTCAGTAGGACGGATATTGAGACTAAGATAAAGGGGTCTTCAGATAGTTTTATTTTATTAGAAATGTTTAGATGTTTTGCAATTTGGGTAGGAACAGATAGTAAACAGTAGATTACAACCACATAGGGTTGTTAATCGTTTTTGAAAACGATCGTTAAACTATCATTTTTGAAAACGATCATTAAACAATAGTTTTTTGTTTCGTTTTTGGAACGTTTTCAAAAAGATCGATTTGCTTTTGGAAAAAAACTATCGTTTTTAAAAACGACCCACTTGTTTTGAACTTTTTGTAAATGAATAACGATAGATTTTGAGAATGATCGTTTTTATAAAAACTATCATCAATTGTTTTCATATGATTGTTTTTTAAAAACGATCACTGTTTTTTCAAAAACTATCGTATTTTAAAAAACAATCTATAAAAAACGATCATTCTGAAAACGAACATTTTTAAAAAACGAACTTTTTAAAAAAACAATCGTTTCCTTTTTTTGTCATCATTACTATAACAAAACGATTGTTTAAAAAAAATGAAAACGTTAACATCCATACCACCACACATATTGTTAGGTTTCGAATGCATACAGTTTCAGAAAAAAATGGCAAAACTGTATGATATGATTTTCGTAAAATATTGTAAACTGTAAATTGTAAGAATTATGTAATTTCTTTTTACCTGCCACCAAGTATACAGAATAGTTAGGAAAACAGTGTGGATCATCAAATAAGTCTGGAAATTTTTGAAATTTTCTGCAATAAAAAGTTGTTAGATACAAAAAAATTTCAACAAGTTCATAAATTAAGTTATACCTGGTGTTTCCAACCAACGGATAAATCGTCCAAATATGTCAAAAGAGCTCAGTTCTGGCTAATATCAAACAGTATTAAGATAAATTAAAACCTTTGCTCAAATTTCTTAATTTCTTTTGATGGGTTGCAGTTCAATTATTAATTATTTTCCTGTTAAATATTCCTGATCAAGTTTGGGTTTTAATTCTCTGACTTCATCTCTTTTCCTCTTACTGGGCATACTTCACTCCAGCCATGGTCAATACAACTGCTCCTTATCAAGGGATTAGAGGTTTATATACCAGGGAGAGGATATTATGGCTTCTTTTCAGCTGATTCAGCTTTGGTGGGGAAATGAAACCTTTCAAATTAATGTATTGTTCGTAATAGGGGCATTTCAAAGTGTCAAACAGAGAATGAGACACTGAAAAACTAGCAAATGTATGGACAATTCTAACCTTAAAGACTTGGATACAACAGTGTTGGGGGATAGTTTAGTGATCTACACTCTACAACCTTGTTGACTATACAATTCAGGGTGTTCAGTTAGTATTCTATACATTCTAGCCTCATTGGATATCTAGTTCAGGGTGTTCAGTTGGTGCTCCATACACTCTAACCTCATTGGATATCTAGTTCAGGGTGTTCAGTTGGTGCTCCATACACTCTAACCTCATTGGATATACAGTTCAGGGTGTTCAGTTAGTGCTCTATACACTCTAGCCTAATTGGATATCCAGTTCAGGATGTTCAGTTAGTGCTCTATATACTCTAGCCTCATTGAATATCTAGTTCAGGATGTTCACTCTATACACTCTAACCTTATTGGATATCCAGTTCAGGGTGTTCAGTTAGTGCTCTATACACTCTAACCTCATTGGATATACAGTTCAGGGTGTTCAGTTAGTATTCTATACACTCTAGCCTAATTGGATATCCAATTTGGGGTGTTCCGTTAGTGCTCTATGCACCCTAGCCTCATTGGATATCTAGTTCAGGGTGTTCAGTTAGTATTCTATACACTCTAGCCTAATTGGATATCTAGTTCAGGGTGTTCACTTAGTATTCTATACAGGGTGTTCAGTTAGTATTCTATACACTCTAGCCTCATTGGATATCCAGTTCAGGATGTTCAGTTAGTGCTCTATACACTCTAACCTCATTGGATATCCAGTTTAGGGTGTTCAGTTAGTATTCTATACACTTTAACCTCATCGGATATCTATTTCAGGATGTTCATTTAGTGCCCTATACACTTTAGCCTTGTTGGATATTCAGTTCAGGGTGTTCAGTTAGTGCTCTATATACTCTAGCCTCATTGGATATCCAGTTCAGGATATTCAGTAAATGCTCTTGATGCTCTAATATCGTTAGATAGCACTTAATACGGATCTGCATACATTTATTGAATCCTTGTAAAAACTGAAAATTTAAATTACAAATGTTATAGTGTTGGTGGGTCCATTAGGTGTGCTGACTTATACTAAATATAAAAACTTAGACAATATAATTTTAACTAAAAATTGAAAAATAAATATTTGAATTTGAAGTAAAGTCATAAAAAGACATTTTTTCAATATGTGGCAATAAAATGAAAACATTTTAATCTAAAATTTGTTTTCCACATTTCTAGTTTCTGAACTTTTCAACATTTCTAACCTCTGTACTTTTCCACATTTTTTAACTTCTGTACTTTTCCACATTTCAAATTTCTGTACTTTCCACATTTCTAGTTTCTGTACTTTTCCACATTTCTAGTTTCTATACTTCTCCACATTTCTAGTTTCTGTACTTTTCCCCATTTCTAATTTCTGTACTTTTCCACATTTCAAGTTTCTGTACTTTTCCACATTTCTAGTTTCTGTACTTTTCCCCATTTCTAATTTCTGTACTTTTCCACATTTCAAGTTTCTGTACTTTTCCACATTTCTAGTTTCTGTACTTTTCCACATTTCTAGTTTCTGTACTTTTCCACATTTCTAGTTTCTGTACTTTTCCACATTTATAGTTTCTGTACTTTTCCACATTTCTAGTTTTTGTACTTTTCCACATTTTAAGTTTCTGCACTTTTCCACATTTCTGAATGTTTTCCATAATTTCTTAATTAAACCGACCTAATTAAACTCTCATGAATTGGAACTAGTTTTGAGCAGTATATTTATTATTATTATTATTATTATCTTCTCTATATGATAAATCTCTTTGTTCATATATATATATTTGTAAGATTGTATTCTGTTGGAGTTGGTTTTTATCAAGCATGCTTGTCATCCTAGGTGAAAATATAAGGTAAAAAATTAACCAATAACTATCGTTTTAAAAACCCCAAAACGATTGTTTTGTGCTTATATTTTCATCTAGGGTAACAAATTTGCATGTTTGTTAAAATCAAACTTCTACAGAATAAAGTTTTAAAATGTTGAAACCTTCTCATATTGTCGCAAAACCTTATAAAAGTCTAAAAACATTATAGTTTCTGTAAAGTTTTTTTTTAAATCGAACCTTTTTTTCAAATTTTTTTTTTAATTGTAATTTTTTTCACGGTGCGGTCCGGCTAGTTATTATTAATATACATTCAAAGGTTTGTGGTGTCCGAACTTGAATTTATTCTCTAAAGGTTGTTTCTGTGCACATTTCAAAATGTTGACTTTAAAAGTAGATATCAGACTGAACAATTTTTCAAATAATTTTAAACTAAAGAATTCTCATTTTGCTTCGTTTAGAGATTTTTTTGATGCCACTTAAAGCCAAAAAGCCTTAAACGTTTCGAAAAGGATCAAATATGATTCTTTACAATAAATTCATTGGTTCAATGTATTAGTTGAAGATATATTATCTCATATGTTGGATTTTATTTTTATTTTCTATTTCTTTGAATTAACATCAAATCCAACTGAAGTTGTTTATATACGACAATATTCTCTTTTAGAAATTGAACACTTGTCTCGAATTCTGATTTTATAATCTAAATATATTTGCAGTCTTTATATCAAACTTGGACTATTAGATCAAATAGTAGCAGAATTATTAGTTTGAAATATTGAATGTCTACCACATTAGGTTTCTAAGATATAAAGAGTAGAAAATTAGAAGCACTCAGCTCCTTGAAAAAGTTTTCTTGCATATTGAAATGTTCAATGTAAGGAATAAAAATTTTACCTTTTTGCTGTAAAAATTTAAATTTACAAGATTTGTCCAATTTTCAATTTTTTGTCTTCTTATCGTTTTTCAAGACATTTTTTCCGCTACAAGGGACTTAAAATTAGCTCAATGTAATCAAAGCAGTTGGGCCAGTAAATAATGAAAAATTGCAAAATGGTAAAAACTAGGTAGATTTTTACCAGAAAAAAATGTTTGAAATGATAAAAATAAGAAATCTCTCTTTTTTTGCCTTTTTTAAAGCACATTTATTAAAATTAAGTTTGATGTAAAAAGTGAGTCAACGGAACTAAAAACTAGAAATTATCCCATTTTCGGTTTAAATTATAATTGAAAAACATGAAAGTATATTTAATTCAAAAAATATTGTATATCATTGCATATTGTTAAACACGTTACATAAAGAAAACAGAAACAAAATGTCAATAATCAAGTACATAAATATATCTTTAACATAAATATGGTCAGCTAGCACAGTTCTTTATTCAATAATCATTTCTTCCACATCGTCAAGATGGCGACCATATCGAAACTGGGAATGTTGTTTAATGTTTTCGCTCAATCTCTTAGATTCAAACATGGCTTTCTTCGATCTGGCTCCATCTGGCAGGCTGGTCCCCGGGCCCCTAAGATTGATGACACCCTCCTCGTTCCCTAGTTCTGATGTATTACTAGTAATGTTAGGACTACTTATCATTTCAATCGGAACTTCAGATATGGTGTTATCAATCTTATACCTGGTGATCCAGGCATAGAACATTTTGAAAGGGTTTTTAACATAGACAACTGGACCTTTCCGAACATCCATTCCTCCTGGCCCTGGCAGGTCAAGATTGCCCTAGATCATTAAAAAGTTATAAAAATAAAATTTTTTGATTCTAAAGAAACTGGTCAATCCTTATATCTTTGATCCTGAAGTTGTAAACCTTTAACATTTTAAATTTTAATTATTTAATCGAACAGAATTCATAGTTTGAATTCCCAAAGGTTTACGATATTGGGTAGTAAAGATATGGGAATTGGAAAATTTTGGTTTGTTACAAAAACCTTTTTTTAAATGTCTTATCAATAGAGATGGAAAATGGGTATTTTGTTTAATAATAAAAAATTCTAAAGTCATACAATGTATAGTTTTTTAATCAAGGTAGACTGTTTTTGACTTTCAAAGTGTGATACAGCCTAACCATAGCGCTAATGTTCGTTAAATTCAAATGTGGCATTAGAACCTATTCTTTGGGAAAACAGCGCAGTGATTATTCTACAAAGGATCTGGAGTTTTACCACAAACTCGGATTTTTTAATCCTCGTATCTTTGTTGTAGAAATTGAAAACTGTGAATTCTGTTAGATCAAAGAGCAAGTTTGTTAAATCAGAGTTTGTGGCAAAAACTACGTTCCTTCATTTTCTAAAGAATTTATTAAAAAATAGATATTGAGTACCTTGAGAACCCAGGAGAAGAAATGTAGATAGATCATGATTATTAGAATAAAAACAAGAATTGCAATAATCAAATATAGTGTATAGAACTGGCCATAGTGGACTGCTGCTTCAGAGTTATGTAAAACATTGTAACTAGTATTAGAGGGTAGGGTCTTTGACAGGTCACTCTGATCCGTATTAATCTTGGATATCAAACTGGTCAGAGATCTGCCCACATTTTCAGCTGTATTGTTCATATTTTCTGTAGTATTCATCTCCATATTAGAGCTCTGAGGTGGCATGCATTCTCACTTTATCAGACGGAAAGTACAATTCCCATTGACGTTCAAAGAAGAAGAAGCAGAAAATTAAGTATATGATTGTTACAATAAGAACTAGGCAAAAGAATCCAATCATAGAACCAAGAAACAATTTAAGCATGTCATAGTCAATGCATTTAAATACAAAATCTGTAAAGGAAACGGAGACTTGACCAATTCTAGCAACTCTCTCTTCTTCGGTCTCTTGTTTTGGTTCTTCCTCCTCCGAATCAGAATTCTTCTCAGAGTGTTTACTAACTCTCTCCCGACCTTTTACTGCATCATCTGTGTTTATTTTAACCTTGTTCCTCTGCTTCAGCTCTGTTTTATCAGATTCTACAGTTCCCATGATGGACAAGTAACTAAATGTTAGAGGGGAGGCCGGGGTAGAAGGAGTGGCCTCTCAGTAGGGATATTTTGTCCTTTTATTGAAATATGTCAGACAATATGGCTTCTTTGTTTTAATCTACTTTAGGAGGCTGGGAAGCAGTTCGATCACTATAAAGTAATTTTTTAAAAATATATATCGTTGATTTTACAGATCAGATGCAACCATTGATAATTATCTAAATATTTAGTTTACTCAAGAAAATATCTAAATACTAGAATAAATGAAGTATTCGTTTAGTGCATAGTTGATGCAAGACCCAATTATGCTAAGTTAAAAATGAAATAAATATGCCTGGGACTTTTTTCTGCTCAGTAAGTTTAAATATCTACTGTGGAAACAAGTAAAATTGTTTATAATGGAGGCACAAATCTAAATTCTTCGAGTTTTCTACTTTTACCCTATTCCAGCTGGGGGGGAGGGGGTCAATTTAAACCCCCCTTGTAGTTATTTTTACATAACTCAAAAAGTCCTCAGGTACACTGCCTGAATGACTACTTTTTCTTGCAACAATCTAAATCTTTGTTTTGACCGACTTTCACTTGTCAGATTTTAATCATTTTTAGCTCTTTGGAAAACCTATGACTTAAGAAAACGAAATACGTAAGTTTTGCAAAGATATTTTTGCAAATTATTTGCATACAACCCGTCAAAAAAAATGTGTACATTTTTAGTTTTTCTTAATTACACGTCAGGTTATTTAAAATTTTGCAAATATTTTTACATATTTGAAATGGCATAAAATTTTATTATTTTTTGGATATTTTTTTGCAAACATTTTTACTATATAACTTGATTTACAGGGTGGGGGGGGGGGGGCAAATTAACCCCCAGCTTATCCTGGTTTTCAAGTACCCCAGCAGGGATAAGGTTAATTTGACTCTGATTGTTCCATGTTTTTACAATTTTTCATCAAATTCGAATTCTGAAGAATTTAGAGTGTAGTATAGTTTTTATATGGAAGATTATAGATCTACACAAGGGTTACCAAATGTCATAAACTAAAGTTTATAATCATTAATAAGTAAAATCAACTTTTCTAGTGTTTGTCAACTATTTGGTACGTTGTTAACTGCGTACAATAAAACTAAAAGTGTATCCAATAACAATATAGGTGATCAATGCTTTAGATCCATTTTTTCAAAACTGCAGTTTTTATAAAACTAAACATTATTGCAAAAAAGACTACAAAAAGCTGGTATTTTAAATCAATGGAACTAACGTGAATCAGAGCCATAGTTTACATCGATTGGAGAGGTATTTATTCAAGTCACTCTGATTTGAATTCTTTCCGTTGATAAAAAAAATACCTTTAAAGCTTTGATTACTATCATTTTTGGGCATCCTGTTTGAAATCAATTTATAAAAGGTTTTTAGCTTCTCAAAAAATCTATGAAGTTTAGCATTTATCAAAGTTTAATGTTGTCAAAGTTGGCATATATCAGATTGTGCAAAATGTTGAAAACATATAAGTTTAATCAGTTAACCAGCAATGGGGTTTGCGTTGTTAAGGCTGATTTTTTAGCTCAAAATCAACTTTTTGCCCATCCTTTTAAAGCAAACTTGTTTTTAAAAAGATTTTGAAATTCTATCTAAAAGCTAACATATCTTGAATGTTTATTAAAATGATCGAACAGGATGCCCGAACCTCTTCTGATCAGAAAACTAAAAAAATGATGAATAAATACAAATATTTTGTCAGAGTAAGGAAGATGACAAATTCTATATTCAACCCAAGTCCGAGACTCCTCAGATGGACCCGGAGAGTCTCTTGAAGGCTGAGGACCGGAGAACGGTGGAAAAGGCTCCAGAAACTTCTGAGGTACAAATATTTCCCTCCTTTAAACTTCAAGATCGTATCCAAAGGTTTGAACCTGGTTCAAAGGTAGCTGAAGAAGAGCATTACAAGAAGCCAGATATGAGATTAAAGCACGCCATGAAACAAGGGCAACCACTAGTCCCTACAGCTGATCTGGACAAGAGACCAAACTATGTAAATAGCGCTAAGAGAGCTCTGATGAGTTCTGCTCGAGGACTACGAAACATCCAAGGAACACTGGCTAGTCTATCAAGCCTGTATGTCAATGATATGTTTGATGATGAGGCCCCGTGTCAGGTTGATGGATGTCCCCTCAATCCTAAAACTAGAGTAAGGCGTAGTGTAGCGTAGAAGTAAATTAACCGCACCTATAGCAATTGATGGCTCTGTATACCAAGAATGATTAACGTAAGGCAACATAAATTCCATAAGAAGGGGATCGCTCATATGGCGTACCGTCCCGCTATGCTTGACATAGTCTGTATTTGTACTGAAGAGCTTGCTCTAAAGTGGGCCCGGTACTTGCAATAAACCCGAGTTTGCAGCGGGACATTTCTTTTGTGGGTATTTTATAACTAGAATATTTAGTGTCTGTGCAATTCATTGATATTGTCTCATGTTATATTCAAATCAGTGGACAGTCCTTTTTTATTCGATATTCTGTATGGTAATCGTACCCAGTCAGGGGCTGAAAGGAGCTTTGATCAGGGGTTGAATGAAGATATAGAAAGGTATAGTTATTTAGGATCCTCCAATCAAAAGTTCCCATAGCGGATATCAAGATCAAGCAATTGGGTTTATTGATTACAAGCAGTAAGAATTGCGGTATTTCGTCATGTAATTTTTATTACTATACTTGTTAGTATTTAAATTATCATGTTCAGAGGGGAACACTGTATAGTTTACCAAAACATTTTTCTAATTTATAATCCTTACCTTAATCATTCTTTATCCAATAGTTAGATTGATTTAGCAAATAAACTAACTTCCAAACTGTATTAGTTAGGTTGATTTAGCAAATAGACTAACTTCCAAACTGTATTAGTTAGGTTGATTTAGCAAATAGACTAACTTTCAATTTACAAACTCAATAAGTTAGGTTGATTTAGCATATAGACTTACTTACAAACTCCATTAGTCAGGTTGATTTGGCATATAGACTTACTTACAAACTGTATTATTCAGGTTGATTATAGCATATAGACTTACTTACAAACTGTGTTATTCAGGTTGATTTAGCATATAGACTTACTTACAAACTGTATTATTCAGGTTGATTTAGCATATAGACTTACTTACAAACTCCATTAGTCAGGTTGATATAGCACTTACAAACTCCATTAGTCAGGTTGATATAGCATATAGACTTACTTACAAACTCCATTAGTCAGGTTGATATAACATATACACTTACTTACAAACTCCATTAGTCAGGTTGATTTAGCATATCTTGACTAACTTTCAAACTACGTTGAATTATAACTCTTTGTAGTTCTGAGCTTGGAACTCTTGTATTATGAATATCGATATCAATGCTTGATCTCTATCTTTTGTTAATCTGCAGATTAATTTAATCTTTATTCGATATCCCACATGGTAATCGTACCCAGTCAGGGGCTGAAGGGAGCTTTGATCAGGGAATGAGAGGCCTTGCTCTGCTTGTAACCTTTAAAATAAAATTGGTATTTCTTTAAACTCCATTTAGTTGGAAATAATCCATGAGTCAATAATGAGATATTGTAATTTTATCATCATGGGTTATATTCACTTTTATAGAAAACATTACCCCCCCCCCTCTCCTTGATTTGCATGAAGTAGTGTTAATCAAGCATGTTTTACTCACTGACCTATTTAACCTATTAACATGATATAGTTTAAAGGGTTAGTATCCATTTTAATCATTTAAAGGAAGTGTTTGAAAAACTTAAATTAACTATCACCCTCTCGTTTTATGCCTATAAATTTAAATTTGATTTCGTGTCAACAGTTTTAAACTTAACATAATGTTTATTTATGTCCTGTAATAGCATGAATAAAATTATACAGACCAAATTATTAATATTCCACTGACTATGGACAAGCTGAAGCCATACTTTTTATTGAGGGTTCTCAGGATTAAGCTTAGCCTGAGAAGTTTAAATATATCCCTGACTATAGATAATGTAATCGAACCCAGCTAAAATTAAGATTATGTTATACATTTGTAAAGTTAAATGCTTAAAAACGGATTAAAACGTAACCCAACGCAACAGCATTTAACAAAGATTTGTGCCACTATTTTATTTGTACTTGCATTGGTAAATAGTAATTTTTTTAAAAATAATTTTTCCTTAAGGATTCGTTAGCTCAGATTCATTCGATATTAATTTCCATTTGAATCTATGTTTAATGTAAGATTTACAGTTGGAACTAGAAAAAAGTGAAATTCTCGTCGTCTTCTTCTCTCTTAATTATATGTCATGTCAATAGAGATTTTAAAATTTCAACTGAACTATTTCTAAAACAAGTTCCCCGAACAATTTTAGAAATACTATGCTTTTAGGGTGCTACGCTTCCCCTTTTCCTATTAAAAATGTTAACTTTTAAGTTTAACGAGTTCTCTGAAATTGGCACTTTTCTTGGCGTAATCGAATTGACACAACAAATTTGGGCCCAATCGGTTCAACCGTTTTGACGTTTGTTGGATTCAAACAAACAAGCAAATTATAGTTTTAGAAATACATCAGTTGCAAAATTGCGTTATTTCTTAAATCTAAGAAAAAACGAAGACGATATTTATCCCACAGTTTTCTGATTCTCACTGTACACTGACAATTAACATGCTGCATGCCTAGCTGCGTAGTTATTTACCTGTCATGCACATGCACCTCCAGGCCCCAGGGGCACTTGACCTTCTTGTTTATCATAATCTTGCTAATTCATTTTCTTATTTAGTATATTTCACCGAAAGGGGATGAACCTCTTTTCAGTCGATCTTCGTCCTCATCCAACTCATCCTTAGAGGTTAGATTCATTCTCATCCTTAGAGGTTAGATTCATTCTCATCCTTAGAGGTTAGATTCATTCTCATCCTTAGAGATTAGATTCATTCTCATCCTTAGAGGTTAGATTCATTCTCATCCTTAGAGGTTAGATTCATTCTCATCCTTAGAGGTTAGATTCATTCTCATCCTTAGAGGTTAGATTCATTCTTATCCTTACAGGTTAGATTCATTCATTCTCATCCTTAAAGGTTATATTCAATCTCATCCTTAGAGGTTAGATTAATTCATTCTCATCCTTAGAGGTTAGATTCATTCATTCTCATCCTTAGAGGTTAGATTCATTCATTCTCATTCTTAGAGGTTAGATTTATTCATTCTCATCCTTAGAGGTTAGATTCATTCATTCTAATCCTTGGAGGTTAAATTCTAACATTTTCATCCATGCAACTCATCCAATTGAAGGTTACTTTTATTTCTATTCGATGTTTCTGTAAAATAAACTTACCGCTAATATAATAAGCGAGAAACCACGTGTTTACTGAAGGAAGCAAGTTGACACGGATGGAACGATATTCACCACTTTACAGAAACATCTGATCCAAATAAAAATAGCAATAATTCATTCATAGTTTTACTATTTTTCATCCTTTTTTTAAATTTTACAAACAATCCCTTTTTAGGTTCGAAAGACGAGTTCCCTGGCTACCCGGAAGTGGTGTATCTGTATCAGTGCTGCTATCCTCCTAGTTGGAATATTTGCTTCCGCTGGAATATATTTCGGATGTAAGAAAAGATAAGAAAAAGATTCTGAAAAATACTTGATATTTTGCAACAGAGCCAAAATCATTTGTTGGTTAGAAGGAGGATATCTGAATTAATTTCCTCTTAGTTCATGAAAAATTAGATAACTACCTTTCCATGAGTATTAAATTTAAAAAAATGTAAAAGTATTAAATTCTTACATTTTCCTCTTTTTTCGCTGCTGCTTAAATCCCTTAAGTTTTAGAGAGAAACAAAAATCATTAATTTTGAACAGTTTTGCTAAGTCGAAATTCAAAGGGTTCCATTGCGAATGGTTAATTTAAAATGGAGGGGCACTTGAAAATCCTTTGACAGTCCCTTTAATTGAAAATGTTAAGATACATATCTGAAGACGCATGAGCCCATTACTGAGAGAGTATACAGGGGCAAATTCAGGTATTCTTTAATTCAAGAAAAAAAAATTTAAACATTTGGGAAAAAAGAAAATTTAAGGAATTGGCTGAGGCTTTAAGAGTCTTCTTATAAATCGGATAAGCGTAAATAGTAAAACTTTCAAAATCATATGTTCTGAAAAAAAAACTTTTATATTACAATATTACAATCTGAAAAAAAATTACAATCTTTGGCAGAAGCCTGAACGATTCTTCAAAACTGTTCTTGCTTCTTTCAGTATTGTTCTGTATCGTTCAGTATCGTAAACTATCGTTCAGTATCGTTCAGTATCGTTCAGTATCGTTCAGTATCGTTCAGTATCGTTAAATTTTGTTCAGTTTCGTTTAGTATCATTCATTATCGTTCAGTATCGTTCAGTATCGTATATTATCGTTAAGTTTCGTTAAGCATCGTTAAGTTTTGTTCAGTTTCGTTTAGTATCATTCATTATCGTTCAGTATCATTCAGTATCGTTCATTATAGTTAAGTTTCGTTCAGTATCGTTCAGTATCGTTCAGTGTCGTTAAGTATCGTTAAGTATCGTTCAGTATTTTTCAGTATCGTTCAATATCGTTCAGTATCGTTCAGTATCGTTGAGTATTATACTCAGAGATAACATTATACACAATGAAATAAAATTAATCTTCTTTATAGATTATACAATGTTAAATTATGTGAAACCTCTTGAATTATTGAGAAGCCCCTGAAATTCAAAACCATGAATGTTATGAAAGAACAAATATCGATTCCCACCGTTAGAAGAAATCATAACATTTTTCTCGAAATGTCGAACTTATCGTAGGCATCCCTAATAATTTTGAATAAAATTCTGTTTTTCGAAATTCTTTTGCAAGTCGGATTTTGTGATGCCAGGGCATTATGAAACCTCAAAGTAAAAAAGCTTAGAAAGGATTAAAAAATGAGCAAAAAAACGATTTCAATCTTTTTATTTGAAGGATGATGACAGACGAGGGTTGGGTTCCAGATCCAGGATCAGTTTTCCACACTCAGAAGGCTGAACAGTTCAGGTAGGGGGTTTTTTCAGCAACATTTTTTTTGCTGAACAGTTTAGGTCAGGAGTTTGAAGGGAGTGTTCGTTAACATTACAAGGGGTTTCACTAAATGTAAAGCCTAAAATCCGACCGTACCATAGTATGTGATATCAGAGAAAAACTCCTCAGTCTCTAACAACAGTTTAATGTTTTCAAGTATATTGAGATATTTCTAAACATGAACCTTTTGCGAACAATATCTAAAATCAAGAGATGGATACTTTTGAATGAGTGCTACAACTGGTTAAATCAATTTGTCGAAAAAGCTTGAAAAGATTTCCAATTGTTTCTTGAAGCCCTGTGAGTTTGTTTAAATATCTAAAAAAAATCTAAAAGATATATTATTAAACATTCTGTTTAGAGGGTACATACATCAACTGTTAAGTAACAGTGCCCTTGCAACGCAATATAAGGTGACCTTTATCATTTAATTATCAATCTTTTTATAATATCTATCTATCTATCTATCTATCTAACTATCTATTTATCTATCTATCTATCTATTATCTAACTATCTATCTATCTATCTATCTGTCTATCTATTTATCTATCTAACTATCTATCTATCTATCTATCTATTTATCTATCTATCTAGTATGCTGAAGTATTCCTGCTTGAATCTGACCCTGCTGGTCTGCTGGTCAACTTTATATCTATCTATCTATCTATTTATCTATCTATCTAGTATGCTGAAGTATTCCTGCTTGAATCTGACCCTGCTGGTCTGCTGGTCAACTTTAACCTTCACTTTCAGTCAGACGCAAAACAAAGGGTTTTTGCCAAGGTTTGCACTAATTAATTGTTTTATATAGAATGTATATTTCTACTTTTTACATAAAGGGATGAAAAACGAAGATCGTTATAAGCTTTTAGTTAGTTAGTTAGTTAGTTAGTTAGTTAGTTAGTTAGTTAGTTAGTTAGTTAGTTAGTTAGCTAGTTAGTTAGTTAGCTTTTATAGATGCTTAAACTCGCTCTGGTACTTGAACTGAACCGGAGTGTACAGTGCTGTATTTCAATATGTACACTGTACACTGTCTAGGAAGTACAAACTGTTCTTGAGTCTCAAATAAAGACTTCCGGTTTACTTCCTCAGCTTGATCTCACTTCTCTTGATATACAAGGTAAGTTGACAGTTATATCAGTAGAAAGCGGAACCAATGTCGTTTTTTTAAATAAAATTTATTTTTTGGAATTTGTACAGCTTCGAGAGTTTGCCCTATAAACATTAAAAAAAATTCTGCAGTTTTAACCGTAACAGATAACAAAATTTGTAGCTATACTAATTGAAATCTTAAGTTTTTAGATGATATATTTATATAATTTTCATATATATAGTATTTTCAACTTCTTCAGTTTAAATATACATTTTAGATGTTTAAGTATATATTTCTTCCAAGACAAAATGTTTCATGGGTCTAACCCAATCATCAGATTTCATTATTCTATATATGTTGTACAATTATAATATTTAAACCTTTTATTTTGTAGAACGCGAGTACAGTGACAAGAAAATATACACGTTTAAGACAATCCCGAAACCTAAACTGGTTTTAGGTAAATACTAACATGTTTACTACTAAACAAGTGAGTACTTTCCACAAACTTAAATTTTCTAATATTCATTATAGTTTAAATTATCAAAGGTCTAATACTACCTTAGGTTGCAAATAAATAAAAAGAAGAAAAGTTTGCGGAGAGTAATCCACTTGTCTGATCACGGGCAGCCGTAGTAAATTTGAATTTCCAAGCCGGGTCAACCTTTCCGGTCCCAGTTTGTATTGTACCTAGCTCTATTTACAGGATTAGCCGGTGCAACAAGGTTGACGCGGTCAGACTTTATGCTTCAAATAGGCTGAATTTAATTTTACTAAAGGGGCAGATTTGTCAGATTTGTTCAGTTAAAATGTTCTCAATTAAAATTCTACTTATAGTAACCCTAAAAACATGGTAAACAGAAGGAGAAGGTCAAATTTACGAGACATTGTTGTACTTTAGCTGCTCCTTTATGAGACATTGTTGTACTTTAGCTGCTCCTTTATGAGACATTGTTGTACTTTAGCTGCTCCTTTAAGAGACATTGTTGTACTTTAGCTGCTCCTTTATGAGACATTGTTGTACTTTAGCTGCTCCTTTATGAGACGTTGTTGTACTTTAGCTGCTCCTTTAGTTTTGATTTTATGAAAAGATTGAGAATATCAATTTTCCAATTCACATTAGAAATTCAAAACATTATTCTTCTTCTCAATAGTTCTTCAATGAGAGAGTTATGATTGGAAACATAAAAGACTTTAATGTTACGTGAAATTTACTTAAGTTTAACGTGTTCTGGTCGTAATATGAAACAACCCAAAGTATTTAGAAATTCCGAACAGAATGTTCGGAATATAAAATACATTGTGAGATATCTCTAACGTTTTTTTGTTGATTTTTTTTATAATTTCAGATCTTATTGGTAAACGTGAATGCTCTGTACTGCAGCCAGGGTACTGCTCCCAGCTCCCGTACAATATTACTACTTTACCCAATATACTGGGACACACACATTCACACCAGGTTCAAGCAGCACTCTCATCTATCATGTAAGTTGACCTTCCCCGCTTCTTTTTTTAGATGTACAAGGTTGCGTGATTATTATATTATATCTATTTATTATAAGCCAACCTAATATTAGGCAGCGGCAATTCTCCGTTACTCGCGAATGCCGCAATGAATTTTAAGACAGAGAGAGCCAGTTCTAGGCGCGGCGCTCGGCCCCCTAGCCTGTCCTAGCCGCAGCACTTGGCCCCTAGTCTGTCCTAGCCGCAGCGCGTGGCCAAGAAAGTGTCCTAACCTAACCTAACTTTCAAATATATGCTAATCTCTCTCTTTCGTTGCGGCATTCGCAAGTAACACAGTTTGGCCGCTCCCCTTATATTACCTGGAATAGGGGAAGGAAGGGGATGGGAAAGGGATGGGAAGAGGATTGGACGTTTAACTTTCTTATACTATAATTAATCAATATAATTGAGTTAAAACTTAAGCAAAATATATTACTTTATGTTCTTATTTTAAAATTACAATTAAGATTATGTCGTTTACTATAAAAGGAGATGAACTGTTTGGTGTACTTTCTCATATTTTCGTCTTCAGTCTGTATGTGTACTGTACAGCTTGCTTTAGCTGCTTAAAAGTTGGTCCGGGACTTCAAATAAACCAGACTTTTAAGGGATATTGACCTAACCAAGCTGTAAGATTATGTTTTCAGGAGTATAGTAGAGTCTAGCTGTTACCCCCTGAGCTATGAGCTCATGTGTCAATTTGTCCAACCGGTTTGCTACAAAGAGAGAATCGTGCCGCCCTGCCAGGCCTTCTGTCAGGTATGTAAACTAAAACCGGTTCATTTTTTAAAATTTGGGAGAACTTGTCGATCAAGAACACCTGGCCCTTGTTAAACATACCCTTCCTTCAAAGGTCCGCAGAGTTAGCTGATCTTAATTCTCAGTCTGCCATGATAAAATGTAGTTTAATATCCCTGCCATTATTTAGTTAAGTTTTAACAGTGTAGACCAATTACCCTCGGCTGACATTTTACATTTCTTCAAACAACTGCAGCATAATAATTTGTATAAGCAAGAACAAGTAGCTCCAGACTATTCTTCTATTATAAAAAACATTTTTTCTTTTTCTTTTTCTGGACACGTCAATTAATTGTCCCTTATTTGCATGCTGATTATAACTGCCTAATGCAGGAGTTTGTTGAAAGCTGTGATCATATTCTTCCTGGAGATATCCTTGAATCATTAAACTGTAATCTTCTACTGCAGGAGTTTGTTGAAAGCTGTGATCATGTTCTTCCTGGAGATATCCTTGACTCATTAAACTGTAATCTTCTACTGCAAGAGTTTGTTGAAAGCTGTGATCATATTCTTCTTGGAGATATCCTTGACTCTTTAAACTGTAATCTTCTACTGCAGGAGTTTGTTGAAAGCTGTGATCATATTCTTCCTGGAGATATCCTTGACTCATTAAACTGTAATCTTCTACTGCAGGAGTTTTTTGAAAGCTGTGATCATGTTCTTCCTGGAGATATCCTTGAATCATTAAACTGTAATCTTCTACTGCAGGAGTTTTTTGAAAGCTGTGATCATGTTCTTCCTGGAGATATCCTTGGCTTATTAAGCTGTAATCTTCTACTGCAGGAGTTTGTTGAAAGCTGTGATCATATTCTTCCTGGAGGTATCCTTGAATCATTAAACTGTAATCTTCTACTGCAGGAGTTTGTTGAAAGCTGTGATCATGTTCTTCCTGGAGATATCCTTGACTCATTAAACTGTAATCTTCTACTGCAAGAGTTTGTTGAAAGCTGTGATCATATTCTTCTTGGAGATATCCTTGACTCTTTAAACTGTAATCTTCTACTGCAGGAGTTTGTTGAGAGCTGTGATCATATTCTTCCTGGAGATATCCTTGACTCATTAAACTGTAATCTTCTTCCAACAGAAGCTGATGGACCTGGAGCATGTATATCCAAACCAGGTTCAAGTACAATTCAACAGGGGTTTCTAACAAATATGTCAAATGCAAAAAATTACAATTGCAATGAAAGCTTTTGGCATGTGTATTTTGCATATATGATATAAACGTGCTTTTTTAGTATTCATTGAGCTTTTTGGTAACAACTTTTTCATTCGCTTGATGAAGTTTTAATTCAAATAATTGAACATGACTTAGTTATAAGGTATAAAGTTTAAGTTTTATTTTGATGTAAATAAACTGTTGTATCTTTAGTTTCTACCCCTAGGTTGTGTGAATAATCTCCGATCATCTGGAAGAAGTGATCGAGTGTGTGATGGTGTGGTGGACTGTCCAGATTTTTCAGGTAATATTATCATCATTAATAATAATAATAATAATAATAATAATAATAATAATAATAATAATAATAATAATAATAATAATAGTAACAATAATAATAATAATAATCATAATCATAAGAATAGTAATAATGATAATATTGATAGTATAAATGTATATTTATTTATTTTAGATATATTTGCTTAAAGTTAAAGCTACACAAATTACATTCTATACTTATATTTAGTATCCTTGGCGCCTCGCATTTCTGCTGGAAGCTATATTCATCATTATCATAACAATGGTTATGTACTCTACCAGCAAGAGGAACATTATCAATACATAGACTTTGCTTGTCTGTCTGTTTGTCTGTGTGTATCCAATTAAAGGTCAAAATTTCTGTACCGTCGGGCCCAAATTTTGTGAGGAGCCTCGCATGACCCCTGGGAAGGTTTATTGATGCGATTAGAATTACAAAAAGCTTTTGATTTTTGTGAAATTTAAAAATGCGCCGAAAAATATTTGTAAATCCGCTTTTTTGTTATTGTTTTATACTGTACATTGAGAAGATGTTCGCAGAATCAGATAGAGCCACGATTAAAAATTATCCCTACACTCTTAATAAAAAAATCTAAATTAATCTTTAAAAGTCGCCTAATCGGGTGAAAAAGTTGGATGGCAACCGATTAGGCGACAAAAACTCGGTTTAAATAAATGGCTTATTATAAACAAAAAATCGCTTATTTTCAACAAAAAATTGCTTATATTGTAGAAGAAGTTGGTGGCTGCCAAATAAGCAACACAAAATCCCTTATTTTCTACGAAAAATCTCTTATTTTTAACACAAAAAAAGCTTATTTTGCAGCAGAAATTTACAGCTTACAGCATTACTTACTTCAACCTGATTTGTATGGAGCACAAAAGATTTAACTATTCTTTAAGAATTTATTTTTCTGTAAAATCAATTTAGTATGGTTAAGGATAAGCTCCCCAACCCCTTACTGGAAAAAAATCCCCTGATCCTGAGCTTCTCAATCGTTTAATCCATAATTTTTCAACATAATGTTGTTTAATGTTTAATTTAAAGATGTGCTCTTTTAATCTGAACTATTTAGCAAACTGTTTGCGTTTTTCTTGCGACAACTCAACAAGTACAGATTTTTGCACAGACGCCTTTTTGACTAAAGATATGACTTCAAATAGTTTAATAAACATGAGACACAGAAATTGTGCAGTTTAAACTGATCACTTCACTTAATAAGTGATTTAAAAAGTTACAAGTGATTATATTGGTTTTGTAAGAACATTTCAAATACACAATTATGTTTTGCATTAATGTCGTCTTACTATTACACAGTTTCTGGTTCTCAGAAAATTGAACTAAACTGGTTCAGAATATATACTGGATGAAACTGGTTCAGAATATATACTAGATGAAATTGGTTGAGAATTATATTAATACTAGCTTGAAACCCCAACGTTTCCCAGTTACTCCCGCAATTGGTCGATTTTACCGGGAAACTAAATTTTCGCTTTCAAAGTCGACCCACTCAACTTAGAATCTCATAACCAAGCTAAAATCATTCCCGTGGTTCTCCCAAATTCCCCAATCAAAATTTGAGCCCAAGCGGTCTAGGGGTTCCTGAGTTATGATCGGACAAACCTACAGAGATTACAACTTTATAAAGATTCCACGTGATATTGATATGTAATGGATCTACAGGGTAAGGCAGGGAAGGTTTGTGCTGAAAGCTTAAATGAAACTGATCCTCAGCAAGCAGAAACTATTCTCAGGAACCTTGGTAGCTCAATCTGTCAGGTAAATCAAGAACCTTGGTAGCTCAATCTGTCAGGTAAATCAGGAACCTTGGTAGCTCAATCTGTCAAATCAAGAACCTTGGCAGCTCAATCTGTCAGGTAAATCAGGACCTTGGCAGCTCAATCTGTCAGGTAAATCAAGAACCTTGGTAGCTCAATCTGTCAGGTAAATCAGGAACCTGGGCAGCTCAATCTGTCAGGTAAATCAGAAACCTTGGCAGCTTAATCTGTCAGGTAAATCAGGAACCTTGGCATTTTACTCCAGGTTTGATGCGAGTTCAAAATTTGGATAAACTCTTTATTTTTTACATCATCCGTCATCGCCCTTTACAAGATACCAGATCTGTATTATTCAATTCTTTCAGGTCATGCATGAAATGATTCAAAGCCTTAATTTTTAAGTTTTTATTTTTATAAAGTCTTATACAGTCATGAGAAGCTGTCTTCATTATATTGATATAGTCGTCTTCATTATATTGATATAGTCGTCTTCATTATAATGATATAGTCGTCTTTATTGTATTGATATAGTCGTCTTTATTGTATTGATATAGTCGTCTTCATTATATTTATATAGTCGTCTTCATTATATTGATATAGTCGTCTTTATTGTATTGACATAGTCGTCTTTATTGTATTGATATAGTCGTCTTCATTATATTGATATAGTCGTCTTCATTATATTGATATAGTCGTCTTTATTGTATTGATATAGTCGTCTTCATTATATTGATATAGTCGTCTTCATTATATTGATATAGTCGTCTTTATTGTATTGATATAGTCGTCTTCATTATATTGATATAGTCGTCTTCATTACATTGATATAGTCGTTCTCATTTTATTGATATAGTCGTCTTCATTATATTGATATAGTCGTCTTCATTATATTGATATAGTCGTCTTCATTACATTGATATAGTTAGTCGCCTTTATTGTATTGATTTCGTCTTTATTGTATTGATATAGTCGTCTTTATTGTATTGATATAGTCGCTTACCCCTGGCCATAAATACGCAATACATTTCTCTATAGTTCTATATTAATAGAAGTATTTGAATTATTATCATGAATTGTTTTTGAATCAATATTTGTCTAGGCTCTAGAATATGAATCTGTAGAAGGTATAGCTGTAGGACGGGATGAAGAGGTAGAAGATGTTCAGTACGTTGATATCTCCAGTCTTCAAACTCAAGGATTTAACACTGTACCTTGTCAGAGCAAGGTAACAATATTACAAAGCAAAGAAAATCCCAAAACGTTTTCTAAGTGTGTAATTAATGTGTTAAAAATGTATATAAAATGTGTACAAAATGTGTGCAAAATATTTTACAAAATAATGTGTTTAATATGTGTACTAAATGTGTACGAATGTGTACTAAATGTGTAAGAATGTGTACTTAATGTGTACGAATGTGTACTAAATGTGAACGAACTGAGTAAAACTTTTACAAAATGCGTAGAAAAAGTGTGTCTAAAGTGTACAAAATACAAACAAAATGTGCATAAAATGTCTAAATGAAAGGTTGGAAACGTAGACAAACATTACAAGGCTATCCTTGATAATTTTAAATTTTTAATTTTTCATGCAGGGTGTCCCGCTAAACATGTTAATTGAGATACTTAAGCAAAGTGTCCCGCTAAACATGTTAATTGAGATACTTAAGCAAAGTGTCCCGCTAAACATGTTAATTGAGATACTTAAGCAAAGTGTCCCGCTAAACATGTTAATTGAGATACTTAAGCAAATTCAATTTTGATCTTTGACAACTTTTTGATAACAAAGTGTGTATTAAAAAGCTCAAAAAGCCATATCTGAGATTTCTTGAAAAAATAAATTTTAATGAAATTCTTCATACGTCCCACCATAGATAAAAAACAAACATAGATAGCTTGTGTACGCAAAATCACCAAGAATTGTACAGTCCGCGAACTCATGCTTCTAGGGGTCAAAGTGTACTTCAATGATAAGCGGGGTGGTTTGGTGTTTTAATGGATTTCATAATTATTAAACCACTCAGGAGTGAATTTTATTTTGAGAATATCAAATTATTTCATTGAGCAATATATCATATTGACGAGAACTGAAGAAAGACATGAGAAGGACTAAACTAACTTAAATTTCTCTCTACAGAACTCATGTACACCACAAGTACTCAATGACATAAGAACAGCCAATGTTCACAACCGACCTAGTTAATCTATATAATGGGAATATCTTCAAAACATCTCTGTACATTTATATCTTTTAAGATGAAAAATGTCGTCTTATGCGCAATCTATCATCTATGCGTCCCACGAAACATAGTAAATTGTTTTAAATGTCGTCTTCCATGCACTGTATTAGATAGTAAAGGCTTTATGCAGTTTATTTCGTTTAAAAAATCTGTTGCTCAAATATATTTTACTTGGAAATGAATTTTACAATGACAATTTTTATTATTGTCTTTGGTATTTAACAATTAAACAAATTATTGAAGAAGACATTCTAAACTATTTACAGCTGTCATGTTTCGTGGGACACCCTGTATCTCTGGTTAATTTGAAAGTGCTTAAAAGGCAGACCACATTTTGGAAAACAATGGGAAATTAGGGTTTTTCTTCTGATTTTTGCCAGAAGTCTTAGTTTCTAAACTCCGGAATATTTGTTTTTTTTCTGATTATTGCTATAAGTCTTAGTTTCTAAACTCCGGAATATATTTTTTTTCTGATTATTGCTATAAGTCTTAGTTTCTAAACTCCGGAATATTTGTTTTTTTTTCTGATCATTGCTATAAGTCTTGTTTCTAAACTCCGGAATATTTGTTTTTTAAAACGAGATGACTTTTTATTACTTATGTTCAGTGAGACCCAATGATTTTCAAACTAAACACAAATTCATTTATTTATTTAATCATTTATTCTTAAAAATGTCACAATCATTTTTATTTTTGTCTCAGACGGTATTGCGGCTCGAATGCCGCAATCTTGAATGTGGAAGACGATCTCAAGATGGAAGAAATAATTCAGACCCAGTTGTTCATGGAGACTGGCCTTGGCAGGTCAACATCAGAAAATAATATTAAATAATATTNATCTTTGATTTGAACTATTAAATTATAATCAAAACTGTAGAGATTTGACTAATTTGAGAAATAAAAAAATATTTGAGAATATATCTCCACATAACATATAATACTAGATTTCAATTTTTCAAGTGTTTAAGAAAATCCACTGCTTTATTTCTACTTTCATCTAAAATCAGAACTGTTGTATTGTTGTATTGATCTCCATCTTATATTATACAAACCTATAACGGATATATTTGATCTCCATCTTATATTATACAAACCTATAACGGATATATTTGATTTCTCTTCGATATCAAGTGATGGTGTCAATTGTCATAGATTAATTAACAAAATCAGACAGAACACTAGATGTTGACTTTTCATGATTTAGGGGTTTATCGTTTTCAATAACTCGAGGAGGCAGAAGCCCAAAGGAGTTAGGCGCGTGTGGCGTTGAATTACAAGACAGAGAGAGAGCATTCTGCCTCAGGGTTATTGTGAACCAAAAAAAACACCTAAATCTTGAAAAGACGACATCTAGTGTCCTATCTGTTATTGTTAATCAATCTATAGGTGATGTATTGAATTGGCGGAAGCCTTTATTCTAAAGTTTAAAAGTTCCCTAATTGGATATTAAGATAAAGATACCAAGATTAACATAATCCACGTAAAACTCTCGACCTCTAATTGGATAATTAAATTTAACTGTAAACTAGACAGAAGGAGAAAGGTAAAATTTATGTGACATCACTGGTACGACTTTATGACCTCGTAGCTCCTCTAGTTTTGATTGTATGCACAAGAATATTTATTTGAATACATATTTATATTATAAATTCAAAACAGTTTAGTTATTCTCAATAGCTTTTCAATGAAAGGAGTTATTATTAAAAACAAAAAAATAATTCCATCTTCCGGTCAATTTACTTTAGTTAGGCGTGCTTTTATATTCTAGGTTGCCCTGCTACGTGAAATTTACTCTAGTTGGACGTGCTTGTATATTCTAGGTTGCCCTGCTACGTGAAATTTACTCTAGTTTGACGTGCTTGTATATTCTAGGTTGCCCTGCTACGTGAAGGGGTTCATGTATGTGATGGAACTCTAATAGAAAACCAATGGGTGATGTCAACGGCCTCTTGTTTCCAAGGGTGAATATGATAATAATTTTTTGCTACATGTTTTTTGAGTTTTAGAGGACATTACGCAAAAAATATTAGTTCTCTCAATCTACAAGCTCTATAGTAATAATAGCTAGCTAAAAATACTTTGGCGGCAGCTCACGGTTTCATTATGGATTTTGGAAGATTTTGAAAGATTTTAAAAAAGAAAGAAAACGGCAAGAAAGTTTGCACTTGCTTTTTATTTTCTAATTAAAACGCATCCGCCGACAAAAAAAGGTAAAAAAGAGAGAAAGCGATTTTTTTGGTCAAATTGTGCAAATTGTGATTGAAAGTCCCAGCTTGCTGGGATAAAGACCGTGCTACTAGGATAGGGTATGCAGACATTGGATATCGGCTTCCCTAGAGATCCAGGATTATTTAGAGGGTGTTCCAATAACATGGGAATTAAGTGACGAATTTGAAATCGTCTTTGTTTCTATGTGAAGAATTATCGTTGTAGAACCTATTATTTTCAACGTTCACTATAAAGTTACGTCTGGTGCTAGAGTATATTTTATGTAAACGATAAAAAGCTGTTCTGTTGATCTGCTAATCGAGGGGAGGAAGACCAATCACAAAAATTCTTAGTCCAAACCACATTCTCCTCATGTTCTCTTCCGAGCCACCTCGAAATCCTCGTCCTTTCAAAAATATTTTTTAAGTGTCCAATCCTTGGAGATAAGAACATTTTCAAAAAATCCGGCCACGTTAGGGAATAAATGAAATAAATGAAATTTTCTCTTACAAATTTTAAATTTGTGAAAAAATGTATATGCTCCCAAAACGATGTTCTACAAATAAGCATCTGTCTGCAGTAGTCCTTTTTCTCGTAGAATACCGCAAGTTATTATGAAATTCAATTAAAACTGTTTCTATTCTTACACTTTTTTGCCCACATTATCTTAATGATTTAATTACTGTTTGAATTCATAGGGTTGTGACGGATAAATTATAGCAAATAATTTAAATAATTTTAATTAAACATTATTTTCTCCTTTGAATATAATCGTGTGACAGGCAGAAGTGATCTTTCTTGGTACGAGAACAAAAATTTGCCTTAACTGTAAATATATCAGAAATCAATGATTTTTTTATATGGATTGATTTGAAATGGAAAAATTATAGACCATGTTCAAGTTAATACTTTAATATAATTTTTGAATTATGAAAGATAGCAATTTTGGAGGTAGGAGAGGTTTTAGTTTTAACCTAAATAAAGTTTGAAATATCATTCTCGTGGATTTGAAGATTCCAATGTTATAAAATCATTGCAAAACTTCAGTCTAATCATGATTTATGCCCTAACGTGGCCAGATTTTCAAAAAATATTCTCATCTTGAAATATTGGACACATAAAAAAATATTTTTGAAAGAACGAGGATTTCGAGTTGGATCGGATGAGAAAATGAGGAGAATGTGGCTCGGACTAGGAATTGTTGTGGTTTGCCTTCCTCCCCTCACTAAGCGTTGTTTAAGATGTTCTGTAACATTTCTACAAGATTAAAAGTTAAGTGGAACGATTAAATGTACTGTGTTTGTAAACAGGAATTTCTTATTTTAAGTATACAACAGAATGCAAACAAATTCTAAACTAGCGCTAGCGCACGAAAAATCTACGAATTACAGCTTCTTAGCAGGTATCACCATACCAAATCAAAAAAAAATTACAAAGACGATATCAAAATAGTCACTCAATTCCCATGTATACCGAATTACCCTGTAACCAATAACGAGATCACCATAACTGTTATGAAGCAATTAATGACCATTAGGCCTTGATATAATTAATCCAATGTATGGGGATCAGATAGGTTTAACTTGCTTGCGAACGTAAGTTCAGCAGAAAGCTTCAGTCAGCTAACTGTAAAACCTATTCATCATGTCCCGTTGAACATTAGAAGGATCTGTACCTGGAAGATGAAACTGGGGGACCTTATGATTTCCAATTACATAAGAAACCATGAAGTATTACCAAAAATGCAATATAATTTTTTTAAAATCCAATACTTAAAAAGCTAATATTCAAAATAGAGTTTTTTAACAATATAATGGACAATGCATTTATATTTTTGTTCATTGTCAATATTTACTTTTGACGCCAGAGAAACCTAGCGGTGAAACTTGGAACTGTAGTTTCAGGCTAAGTTTAGGTAAACATTGAGAAACACTAAAGATGTAACACTATGGAGAAGTTCTTCCCGAAACGGCGTAGTCAAAATACAAAAGATATAAAAAAAAATTATTTTAATTTTTCTATTTTTCAGGCAAAGCAAAGCTAAATGGCAGGCATCAGTTGGTTCAGTCAGGTTATCAAGCAGAGCACCCTGGGAGCAAAATAGGTAAGTAGATAATCAAACATTTCAGGGGAGAGGGTGAGGGGGAGAAGGAGGGAGAGTGGGAGGGGGAAGAGAATAGAAGAGGGGGGAATTAAGAAACAATATTTTCAATGGTATAAAATCTATAAAAAAATTAAATTACATTTAGACGAATAGTTGGAATGGTTAAAAGTCCTGTCGAAGGGAATGATATTGTAATTCTTAAACTAGAAGAACCAATAGTATTCTCAGGTTAGTTGATAATTCAAAACTTTTTTTATAAATAGATTATTCCACCATGTTTCTTTCCTTGGATAGAAGGAGTCGTTGTTGATTGTGTTCATTGTGTTCCTTGTTTTCATTGTGTTTATTGTGTTCATTGTGTTCATTGTGTTCATTGTCTTCATTGTGTTCATCGTGTTCATTGTGTTTATTGTGTTCATTGTGTTCATTGTGTTCATTGTGTTCCTTGTTTTCATTGTGTTTATTGTGTTCATTGTGTTTATTGTGTTCATTATGTTCATTGTGTTCATTGTGTTCATTGTGTTCATTATGTTCATTGTGTTCCTTGTTTTCATTGTGTTCATCGTGTTCATTCCTCTTGTTTGATTAATATCCTTTTAAAACACAAATTCCATATTCTCTCCCAAACTGTCTATAATGCTGCACCGCAGCCATGATGAACCCAAGTCAAAATGTAAAAGCTAACAAGCGTCACGCCGACGTAATTTTAGTTGACACTCAATTTCAAGAGTTGTATGTCAGATTCACAATGGTACCTTTTTAACCTTTGACTGAGCATGCAGCAATGAAAAAGTATCAATTTTAAGTAAAAAAACTCAAGGATATCTCATTCATCAGTCAAAGATTTAAAGGTACTGCTATAAATTTAAAAAATTATCAATTTGGAGGGTGGTGACTCGTGGGTCGCTTGATATTCTATATTCACTTAAAGATGTCGGAACTCAGGAGTCAGAACTTTTGTATTGTGAATCCTGGGATTAACTGTTGATCTCCATCTTCAGAAGATTTACAGATTAGTTTAATCCTCATTGATGTCCCGTGATAGTCATTCCCTGTATTGAGGGATCAAGCATTGGCCATAAACAATATGTTTATTCAAAACTTTAATGCTTTTTTTCCAATGATGACAATATACTAAGAATGATAATACATTTTTTAAAAATGGCATTTTAACATCTAGATTTTGCACGGCCGATTTGTCTGCCATCTAGCGACGAATGGACGAAAGATCCCGAAACTGAATGCTACAGCTTGGGCTGGGATTCTAAGGTAATATATACTTTACTAGGCTTTTAGGGTGCTTCGCGCCCATCTTCTATTTAAATTGTGAACATGTTCTTTTTGTTTACATTTTAAAACAAAGAAGAAAAAAATTTTGCGGATTTTTAAAAAAAAATTCGCGGATTTTCAAGAATTTAAATTTTTTTATAAAATTGAAAACCTTTAAAACACATTTTTTTTAATTTTTATCATTTATAAACCTTCCCTGTGGTTACGTGATGTCCCACAAAAAAATGTGGGCCCGATCGGTTCAGCCGTTTTGACGTTTATTGGATACAAACAAACAAACAAACACCCAAACAGACAGACAAGCCAAATTTATATATAGATACGGTGAGAACCAGAAAACTCTTGAAAAGAAAGAGGACTTGAAGAGTTGAGATTCAAGATAAAACTTTTAAAAGTCCAATGAGCACGAGATAAAGCAATTGTACAATATAAATAGACCCATTTAACTAAGTATAGTTAAACCCTAAATAAGCCATCATCGAAACAATTCATCAAATGTCGTATTCTTCACTTTCTGATAATGGAATGTGGCAAATATTTAGTTTTTTAATTAAATAATTATATGGAGCTCTTGAAAACTGTTCCTGCAAATTCATGGCTATTTATTTATTTTCGCAAATACTAATATTTACATAAAAAAGTATAAAACCCATTAAAAAATTGTCAAGACGACATTTTATAAATTATTTCGATGAATAGCTCATCAAGAAGTGTTTGCTTTGTAACAACATCAAATATTCATCATCCTATTCCAATGTTTTCTGGTTATATCTGATTTTATCTGGTTATATCTGGTTATATCTGGTTATATCTGATTATATCTGGTTATATCTGATTTTATCTGGTTATATCTGGTTATATCTGGTTATATCTGGTTATTTCTGCTTATATGTGATTATGTCTGATTATATTTGGTGATATTGGTTATTTCTGGTTATATCTTTTTATATCTGGTTATATCTAATTATAGCTGGTTATATCTTGTCATATTTGTATAATATTCTTGTATCTGTCTAATATTCTTGAATCTGTCCAATATGCTTGTATCTGTCTAATATTCTTGTATCTGTCTAATATTTTTGAATCTGTCTAATATTCTTGAATCTGTCTAATATTCTTGAATATTCTTGAATCTGTCTAATATTCTTGAATCTGTCTAATATTCTTGTATCTGTCTAATATTTTTGAATCTGTCTAATATTCTTGAATCAGTCTAATATTCAAGTATCTGTCCAATATTCTTGTATCTGTCTAATATTTTTGAATCTGTCTAATATTCTTGAATCTGTTCAATATTCTTGAATCTGTCTAATATTCTTAAATCTGTCTAATATTTTTGAATCTGTCTAATATTCTTGAATCTGTCTAATATTCTTGAATCTGTCAATATTCTTGAATCTGTCCAATATTCTTGTATCTGTCTAATATTCTTGAATCTGTCCAATATTCTTGAATCTGTCTAATATTCTTGTATCTGTCCAATATTCTTGTATCTGTCCAATATTCTTGAATCTGTCTAATATTCTTGAATCTGTCTAATATTCTTGAATCTGTCCAATATTCTTGTATCTGTAAAGGATGATATCATGCGACCTGTAGATCTAACTAGAGTTGGATTGGAGAAATGTGAAGACCATTCAGAGGTAAATTATAGATATTTACAGGGTTACTCCCAAACCATTCAGAGGTAAATTATAGACTTACAGCCTACAGGGTTACTCACAAACCATTCAGAGGTAAATTATAGACATTTACAGGGTTATTTACAAACCATTCAGAGGTAAATTATAGATATTTACAGGGTTACTCACAAATAATGAGACTTTTCATGACGACCTGAATTCTTTAAAACCTATCAGGGGACAAGATTTATGTAGCATGGAGAAAAGGAAGGAATTTAAGAAAGATATCTTTTCAGACAAGAAAACGAAAATGTCATTTTTAATCTGATATTATCTTTGTGGATCCGTATAGCGCTATGAATTGAGGTTGACTGGAATTAGTTAAAACTCCATTGAAAAGATATGAGTATACCTTCAGGTTAAAACGTACAAAGTTATAGAACAAATAAATAAAATCCTAAAACAAACATTTTAGAAGTAAGAAGATTTTTTCACCACACTTATATTAAACTAATGTGTTGGAGGACTTTGTTCATCTGATGCAGGTAGGTTCAAGATTTTATAGATTTCTCCAGGAGAATATCTTTTCCCGTATTTTCTCCTATCATTTCAAGGGTTCCTAGTTTGTATTTAAGGAGAAATTCCAGCCTCTTTTCCTTAGGTTAGCGTGAACAGCCTGTGTACTGAAAGCTCAGATGAATGTCAGGGAGATATTGTAGCAGGGGCTGGACTTGTTTGTCAGGTAAAAAAAAACCTTTTTTCTGATATGAAAAAATTCTTTGATTTAAAAACTTTATGAGTAAAATTTGTAAATTTTGTAAATTTTTTAACAAATAACCAAGTTTTTTAGTTTGATCTTAATACTTTTTGTTTGTTTAGTCTGGAGGGGAGTGGCACCTAGTAGGCGTGTCTAGCTGGAGGAGAGGGTGTGGCAAGGTTGGGGGTAGACCTCGTCTTTATGATAAAGTCAGCATCACTACAGAATGGGCGGCCAGAGTCATTTCGGAGGTGCGTAAGAAAAAAAATTATATATTTTAGAAGTACATTTATTGCTTCTAGTTGTAAATACATGGTAATCGGTAAATAACGAGTGTATAAAAGGAGAGGAAGTTAAGCAGGTCTTCTCTGGTTTCAGGATCCGACTCTACTTAATTGCGCTTTTCAGGTTTTCATAATCCTCTTTTGGGGATTTCATCCTCTACAGAGAGTCGAGACTGATACTTATCTCCTAGTAAGTGTTTACGGAAAAGGAGTAGAAAGAGTTCTGGTGATGATAGATCATTATTAACAATTGGGTGTTTGTGAATTTCTGATCTGCCCCCTCCCCACGTCATGATCAACCTTGTGGAAGGCTGGCCAGTGGCCATTCAAAGAGATCTGTTGTAGTGAAGGCTAGGCGGCATAGATTCAACCTGTAGAGAACTGGCGTCCAGAATATCTACGAGTAGGTTAAAGATAGTAGCTGAGTTGCTTGATAGCTCCAGAAGTAGCTGTTTAGCTGATTAGCTCTGGGAGTAGCTGTGTAGCTGATTACCTTCTGAAGGGTTGAAGTGTTTAGCTTATTAGCTCCAGGAGTAGCTGAGGTTTAGCTTATTTGCCCCAGTAGTAGCAGAGGCTTAGCTTATAAGCTCCACAAGTAGCTAAGGTTTAGCTTGTTAGCTCCACGAGTAGCTGAGGTTTAGCTTATTTGCCCCAGTAGTAGCAGAGGCTTAGCTTATAAGCTCCACAAGTAGCTAAGGTTTAGCTTATTAGCTCCACGAGTAGCTGAGGTTTAGCTTATTAGCTCCAGGAGTAGCTGAGGTTTAGCTTAGTAGCTCCAGGAATAGCTGGTAGGATGAAAAAATAGTGAATTCGTGGATAAGAAGTTTAAGCTTGAGATTGTCATATCCTCGTCCAATTCTTGAGCTGGTTCTGACCAGGAGGCTGTGTTTTCTGCCATGGTTCGTTTGTCGTCTGGGGTCACCACTTTAGAAGTACACTTATTGCTTCTAGTGGTAAATACATGATAAATAACGAATGTATTAGAGGTTGAGTAGGTCTTCTCTAGTTCCAGGATCCGAGTCTACTGATTTGCGGATTTCATAATCATCTTTCATATCCTCTACAATATCTACAAAATCATGTTTGATATTACTTGATTTCTATATCCTTCAATGAGTTTGAAAGTAAAGCTGGTGTCCCAAAACATTAAGTGGCGAATTTTATATCATATTTGATTAACGCGGCATTTTGTTTGAAGTATTTCAACGGAAATTTTATCCTTTGGGGATTTAAAAAATGTGGTCTGCTGATTTTAAACCTTTAAAATCAAATAAATTTTACATCAAAATTTTTACTTTTTTATACACTTTTTGCTATTCATAAATTCTCTAAATTGTCCAGTGTTATAAGAACATCTCGTATAAATGTTTTTATCTTGTAGATTGAAGAGGGAGGGTCGCCGCCGATAAACTCTCGAGTGCCCAGAAGAAGATTGGGCTGAACATTGAATATTCCTTAGAAAAATACTTTCTTAAAATTGTTTTCTCAAAAAAATGAAAAATCGAGAATTCCTTAAACTAGGCAAGTTTAAACGTTTACAACAATAATCTTCTAATCAAAGTTGTCTACAAATTTATAATTTGATTGTTTTGGCTTTCTTCGCAAAGACGACATTTGGAACAACCGACTAAACATCTGAACACTGAGCAGCCATGATAATTCCATCTTAAGACAATTACATATTTTTCTCCATTATTTTTGCCATTCCTTTTATGAAAATTAGTTGTTTTTTAATATAATTTCGTCCTAAATTGTGCAATATAATATACGAAAGCTGTAGAAATCTCTAGTCTTGTGTACTGTATATTTATTATAAAATTATTTATTTTTCTTTCTTTTTCTTTTTTATATTCTTCTTTCTCTTTTTTGTTTTGTTTTAATTTTATCATTTTTTTCTTTTAAACCATTTCAAGTATATAGATTTGTTAACAGATTTTCGGTTAAAAGCAAAAATGTTAAGTTTCTTCTCAATTTTAAAATGTTCGTTTTCTGTGATATTCTATATTTTCTATTAATAAATTGATCATCTTTTCGTGTGTTTTTTTAGAGCGAGGCTATGAAGGAACAAAAGTGCACTTTTTCATTTTGCAATAACAATTTACATTCATTTTATGTAAAAACATCTTTGTGCTGCTATTTTTTGTAATATATTTTTGTAAATAAATGATTCCATAAATCCGATATTTTCAAGTAAATTTTATTAAAGACTATTATGATATTTCATATCGAAAGAATATAAATTCAAATAGATAGCACATTTATAGTGCTTTTATATGTGCATAGAAATTTTATAGATAAAACCCATCATGATTTCAATATTTTCAAACTTCGATCCTGTTTTTAGATTTTTGGGTCGTCTTTTCAGTCTCATCCTTTGTGGCAATCCTGCATGTAAAATCAGCCTAGAAACAAATAAACAGTACGAAACTAAACGTATTTCTTACATAAAAGTACACAGTGCGGGAAGAGCGGGTAAAACTCCGTGGCGAAAAACCCCAGTCTTTTATTCTTGACTGTATATACACTATATATACAGCGTAGTAGATTGTAGAGTTGTATCTCCTGACTTTCTGACTTTTACAAAATAGAAACGTGTTAGGTCGTGAAACACGTTTTTGCAACAATAAAACAATTAAACTGTCTAGATTTCCAAGATTTCGTTAAAAAAAGACAATTTTACGAAAGGAATAGTTTTTAAAAACAATGGTAAAAAATTTTAATGACAAAACTGACGTGAAAATCTTTTTTTATATTATTCAAAGAAAACTCATGTTACACTCTAAAACCTGTAAAAAAAAATAAAAAAACATCTATTTCTTAAATTTAAAAAAATTCTGTCTATTTTATTACAAATCACATATAAAAACTATAGATTATACTTATATATAAAATTAATATAAAATCTAAATTGCATGAATATAAAAAACACGTGAATGTTTATAATCTATTCCTAAAACTTCATATAAAAACATTTTTTTTTGGAGGGATATCTATTACAGCAAAAATATATTTTCTTGGCTTATAGTTAGGAAATGTCAACGAAGCAAAAACTGATTTTTTTTTCTTTTTCAAACCTTTTGGTTTGGATTTCTTATATTTTGTAGCGCCTGTATTACATTACGAATACATAAAGACAGACAAGCAAAGTATTTTTTAAAGGTCAAAGTAAACTTGCATTAACAGAAACATTTTCTTTCTGAATTAGGGTTTCCAGCGAAAGAAAACTTTTTCGAAATTTTACATTTTTTCCTATTTTTATTGAGGGTTTCCGCAAATTTTTAAGGCGTTTCCGTTTTTCAAAAAAAAACTTAACTTTCAATTTGGTTGTACGGTGTTTCGGCAAATTTTCGAGTTTTTCAGTTTTTCATAAAAACGTTGACCTTAATTTGTTTAATTTTTAATTTTCATTTTATGTTCGTAAACTATAAAATTCTTGTTCTTAAACGTAACCTTTCTCTTCATAAACGAAAATTTAACGTTCAGAAAGAAAATGTTTCTGTTAATGCAAGTTTATTTTGACCTTTGAAAAGAAAAATACTTTTCTTGTCTGTCTTATATGTTTGTTTATGTGTTTTTGTACTCAATAAGCGGCTGAACCAATCAGGTGCAAATTTTTTTGGAACCTCATGACCCCAGGGAAAGTTTAAGGATGTAAAATTTCGAAAAATCTTGAAAAATTGTTTTTCAAATCCGCGAACTTTTTTGGTTTTAGTTTTATATTGTACAAAAAGAAGATACTCGCAGATAGAGCCATGAATCAAAAGTAAAGGACCCTAAAAGCCTAGTTTTAAAAAAAGTTACTTTCATAGATTTAGATTGGTGTATACAATCAACGTTTATCTATATAAATACTTTGCTTGTCTGTTTGTCTGTCTGTCTGTATCCGTTAATTGTCAAAACGGCTGAACTAATCGGGCCCAAATTTTGTATGGGACTTCNTAAAAAAAACACGATTTTTTTTATAAAATCCGCGAACTTTTTGTTTGTTTTTATTTTACAAAGAGAAAATGTTCAGAATTGAAATGGAAAATGGAGCGAAGCGCTCTAAAATCCTAGCCCTAGGATAAAATAATTGTTGAATTGAAGCCCTTTTTATTCATATACACATGTTATTTTTCAGAGACTGATGCAGCTTTACCACTTTATTCTGGAGAAATAAAATCAATTAAGTTCAAAAATGGCCAAAAAATCACGTTTTTTCCGACGGCACCGGAAAAAATGGTCAAAAATAAAAAATATTTTAGATTTTTCTTAGTTTCATATATATCTATTCAAAAGAAAAAGTGCACCTCTGAACAATTTTTACAGGGCCGCCCTACCATGGGGGTCTCCAATAGTACTCCAATGATGATGATTTCTTACCAGACTACCAACACTATGCAAGAATATTTTTGAAAAAATTTATTTTCTAGATAAAATTATTTTGTTAAATCTGATCATGGATTATCAAAAATATGAAGATGTTGGAAAATTTGTTTTAGAATTGGACCAAGCGCCATATAAGACTCCTAAGGTTATAATGCAAGGGAAGTTATTTCAGAGGTGTAAGCATCATTTGTACATAAGGGTACTGTCTCTGGGCGGTAATGTAAACACAAGACGGATGTCGAAGTCTGACATTGGATCCATCATCCACCTTCCACATAAATAGTCAATGAAATATTCTGGTCATATGAAACTATTATGTGAATTATCAATATTATCAAAATTTAATGCTTTTAACCTTCTCTTAACTTTCCTTGCATTATAACCTTGACTCCAACCAACCTTTATCCCATTCATGAGTTCAGATAGTGGGCCCCCTATTCTAAATTTGGCGGGAATTCAAGTTAACCATCTACACATGGATGGTATAGGATGGAAGGGGAGGAAAAGGAGGATAGTAGGGATGGGAAATGAGCGCAAATAGAGCTCTAAGGATCGGGGGTTGGTTTTTTATTTTTGAATAAAAACATCTGATGGATGTTGTTGAGAAGGTGAAGAAAGTATGAGTTGGGGGATAGAAATTGAGGGGAAGGGGGAGGGAAATGATGGTTTAGAGGAGAATGAGGAAAAAGGTTTGGTTGTGGGTTATAAATGGAAGAGAAGGGGAAGAAAGGATGATGAGATAGAAGAAGGAGAAAAAATGGATTGCAAGTAAAGGATAAGGGCAGAAGGATGAGAAAGAATGGAGAGGGAGATAGGAGTAGAGGAGAAGGAGGAGAAAGGATGGGATGAGGGGTGGGAGTGGAGAAGACGAATGATAAAGGGTTGGAAGAAAAGGAGGAAAAGGATTGAGTGGGGACAGAATGGGAGTAGAAGAGGGAGGAAATAAGAGTAGAGGGAAGGCCGAGAAAGAATGCTAGTGGATAAAAGTAGAGGAGAAAGCTAGTGGATAAAAGTAGAGGAGAAAGAATGCTAGTGGATAAAAGTAGAGGAGAAAGGATGCTAGTGGATAAAAGTAGAGGAGAAAGGATGCTAGTGGATAAAAGTAGAGGAGAAAGAATGCTAGTGGATAAAAGTAGAGGAGAAAGGATGCCGGGATGACGATGACGGGGGAAATGGATTAATTGATAAAATTAATTTGCCTTGACAAAAACACAACATTTATACTTTTATGAAATCTGATTTTCATGAAAATGATCAAATTTCCCTCAAATTTCTGAAATGTTTACAAACCTATTACAAATATTTATTTGTTATCAAATATGGTAATTTGTTCTGATAGACATGATTACACTGTTTCAAGAAATTCTGGAAATATGATTCTTTAAAATATGTTTTTCTGCTTTAGAACATTTACGACTATTTTAACTGTATTTTTAATAATAAAACGCAACAGATTTCTTAATTTTAATTTTATTCTTATTTGGAATGTAAAAATGCACAGTTCTGAAATCCCACGAAAGCATCAAAATAAAATAACATCTTTGCTTAACAAATAAACAATGAAAATAATTTTTTTCTGAAAAAAAACACATATTATAGTTTTTCTTCAAAAGTTCAGCAAAGTAAAATTGAAGCATCCCTGTTAACTTGAAAGCCTATTTTAAAAAATTGCGGTCAAATTAATATTTAATTAAATCCTGCGGTTGGAAACAGGTTGGAAACAGGTTGGAAATGGTTTTTCTCTAAAGAGCCCTAAAGGGGGTTTTTATAAAACTAGCGTTAAGAATAATTTTTAATTCAATAGCAATTCCTGTGTGTTTGGAAAACCCTTACACCATATTTATTCAATTTTTATCACATTTTTTTTAAGAAACAATCATAATAAAAGCCTATTTTAAAAAATTGCGGTCAAATTAATATTTAATTAAATCCTGCGGTTGGAAACAGGTTGGAAATGGTGTTTCTCTAAAGAGCCCTAAAGGGGTTTTTTATAAAACTAGCGTTAAGAATAATTTTTAATTCAATAGCAATTCCTGTGTGTTTGGTAAACCCTTACACCATATTTATTCAATTTTTTATGAAACAATCATAATTTCTGAAAAAAACGCAGAAAAGGATGATAAAAGA